GTCTCCTTTGATTCTGAAGTGACACAAGTTGGGGTGAGGGTCTCTGAGTCCAAGATGGCTGACGTAGTTGAGGCCAAGATGGCCGACGGGGGAGTGGGGGGCGTCTCCTTTGACTCCGAAGGGATTGGTGTTGGGGTGGGGGTCTCTGAATCCAAGATGGCTGACAGGGGGTTGGGGGTCATCTCTGTTGACCTCAAGATGGCCGACGTTGCGGTGGGGGTCTCTGAGTCCAAGATGGCCGATGGGGGGGCAGGGGTCGTCTGTGTTGACCCCAAGATGGCCGACGTTGGGGTCTTGAGATCCAAGATGGCCGACGGGAGGTTGGGGGTCTTCTCTTTTGCCTCCAAAGTGATTAAGGCTGGGGTGGGGGTCTCGGAGTCCAAGATGGCCGACATCGGGGTCTTGGAATCCAAGATGGCAGACGCTGGAGTGGATGGGGTTGGATCCAAGATGGCCGACTTTGGGGTGGGGGTCGTCTCCTTTGACCTCGAAGTGGTCGACGTTGGGGTGGGGGTCTCTGAGTCCAAGATGGCCGATGGGGGCGTGGGGGTCGTGTCCTTTGACCCCAAGATGGCTGACATTGGGGTCCTGGAGTCCAAGATGGCAGACGGGGGGGTGGGGGTCATCTCTGTTGACCCCAAGATGGCTGACGTTGGATCCAAGATGGCCAATGGGGGGGTGGGAGTCGTGTCCTTTGACCCCAAGATGGCTGACATTGGGGTCCTGGAGTCCAAGATGGCAGACGGGGGGGTGGGGGTCATCTGTGTCGACCCCAAGATGGCCGACGTCGGGGTCTCTGAGTCCAAGATGGCGGACATTGGAGTGGATGGGGTTGGAGCCAAGATGGCCGACAGGAGGGTGGGTGAAGTTGAGTCCAAGATGGCCGACGTTGGATCCAAGATGGCCGACGGGGGAGGGCAAGTCGTCTCCTTTGACCTCAAAGTGGTCGATGCTGGGGTGGGGGTCGTGACCTTTGACCCCAACATGGCCGACGTCGCAGTCTCAGAGTCCAAGGTGGCCGAAGTTGGGGTGGCGGTCATGACCTTTGACCCCAAGATGGCTGAGGTTGGATCCAACATGGCCACGTCCCGCGACCCCAAAGGTGTTGCGGTGGGGGTCGGGGTCGTGACCTTTGACCCCAAGATGGCCGACTTTGGGGTGGGGTTCATTTCCTTTGACCCCAAGAAGGCTGACGGTGTATCCAAGATGGCCGTCTCCCTTGACCCCAAATGTATTGGGGTCGTGACCTTTGACCCCAAGATAGCCGACGTTGGCATCCCAGAATCCAAGATGGCGGATGCTGGGGTCATCACCTTTGACCCCAAGATGGCTGACATTGACGTCACAGCGCTCTCATTGGCTGACCTCGAACCAAAGATGGTGGATGCTGACCCCGCTGCGTTCCCATTGGCTGAACTTGCTTCCAAGATGGCTGACGTTGACCCCGCAGCGCTCCCATTGGCTGGCTCAGACACCAAGATGGCCGCCGCTCCCACTTCCGGTCCCTCATTGGCGGCAGTCGGGCCTCCGCCAGCCGGCAGTGACCCCAAAGCGGCGCCCTTTGACCCCAAGATGGCCGACACCGGGTAGCGTCCCGCCTCCTGATTGGCTGAGTCCGACCCCCCGCAGCGTCCCGCCTCCTGATTGGCTGAGGCCGACCCCCCATCCCAGCGTGACCCCCGGCTGACCCCCGCCGACCCCGAATAGGCCTCAACCCCCCCCAAAACGGCGGACTTCGACCCCCCGCCGTCACGTGACCCCGCCGCACCCCCCTCACTGACCTCCGTCGGCCTCGCCTCGCCCTCCGCCGCCCCCAAACCGCCGCCCCCCGCTCCCACGCAGCGCCTCCCCCGCCCAGCGGCGGCCATCTTGGGGCGGGGCGGCGGCCGCGGCGGCCCCGTCGCTATGGGCCGCGTTTCCATGGCGACGCGCGGGGCCCCGAAGGCGGCCGAGAGCCCTCCGGCCGTTGCCGTGGAGATGCGCGCGCAGCGCCGCGCCGGCTTCCGCTTTGCGCGAGCCAATAGGAGACAGGCAGCGCCCACTTCCGGCCTCCTTACTTCCGGGTTGCCTGACTTCCGGCACTTCTCTTCCGGGTTCCGGTCGGAGCGGGGTTGCTATTGCCTCGCGATCGGCACAGCCGTCCGAAATGCGTCACTTCCGGTTACAGCGCTTTCCGGTTCCGGCGGAGCCGTGGAGACGGTTGTGCGTGTCCCGCCCACCCGTTGCTAAGCAACCGGGCCCCTTCCCCCCTCCCCCCCCCACATTCCCCGCTTTTTGCCCCAAAATCAACACCGGGAACCGCTCCCAACCCCTCCCCCACCCCCACCTGTTCCTCAATCTCCCAATTTCTACCAAGTTTCCCCCGCTCAGAACCTCCAATTTACAATTTTTCCCCCTTAAATTCGCCCGAATTTCCACCAAATTTCCCCAAACGTCGTAAAATCCACCTCAGCTCCCCGAATTTCCCCCATTTCTACCCCGGTTTCCCCCCACACCCTCTCAGGAACCCCAAATTCCACCCGTTTTCCCCTGAACCGGAAGTTCGGCTAGAAAGGCCGCGCTTCCGGTGCCCCTCCCTCCTCTCTTCTCTACGGTCTTGGAGGACCCGATGTGGTCCCGCCGCTTTCGCTCCCATTGGCTGAGGCGCCTCGGGGTCGCCTCCCATTGGCTGAGAGCGCTGACTACATCTCCCGGCAGCCCCCGCGCGGCCGCCATTTTGTGGGGGGGTGAAGCCAAGGGACCCAGAATATTCCCAAATATTCCCGAAAAGCGGCTCCAAAACGGCACGGAATTGAGTCCAAAGTGTCAGCAGTGTTGCCCAAACATCCCCAAATCTGCCCAAATGGAACCCAAAATTCAGTGGAAGCGTTTCAAGCGTTCCCAGCATGACAAATGTCCCACTTGCCACAAATGTACGCAGTGATCCTCCAAAAAATCCTTCGCCATGACTTCAAATCCTCCCAAAATAACCTCAAAACGCTCCTAAAGTTTCCAAAATGTCCTTAAAGCGTTCCAAAATATCCCCCAAAGATCCCCAAATGCCCTTAAGATGCCTCAAAATACCCCTCGATGACCCCTGCATCCCCATTAATGTCTCAAAATGCCCAAAAACGTCTCAAAAACCTCCAAAAAATCCCTAATAATGCTTCATAAACACCCCCAGAACGTCGCCAAGATCCCCCATGACCCAAAATATCACTGAAATGACAGAAATGTCCCCAACGATGACCCAAAATGTCCCAAATTCCCCCCCAAATCCCCCAAATCACCAAAATGCCCCAAATTTTTCTGTCACCCATCCCCAAAATGGACCAAATTTTCACAATAACTTCCCCAAATGCCCCCAAATTGTCCCAAAAAACGCCCGTGTGTCTCTTATTGTGCTCCCTAAGCCCCAAAATGCCGCAAATGTCCCCAAAATGACACAAATACGGGACATAAACGCCCCAAAAATGCCCCAAATTTTTCCACAGCTGCCCAAAGTTCCTCAATTATGTCCAAAACTGCCCCAAATATTCCCCAAGACGACCCCAAATCTTTTATTGCCTCCAAAACTCCGCCCAACCTCATAAATATGTAATAGATCGAGAAGCCACGCCCACCGTTTTGTTAAGCCACGCCCCCTTCATTAAGCCACGCCCCGTCGGTGGCGGCTCGCCGAACGCGTGCGTTCATTGCGCATGCGCGTAGCGGGGGGGGGGAGGCGGCTGTTGTTTCCGCACATGCGCGTTGAGGCTGTTCTCGTTCTCAGCAGATTCGCCAGACGAGCCGCTCTTTAAACACAACTTTTTGAAGAACCTTAAAATAGCAGCATTAATTTTTCTGCTGTGAAAGTCGTGTGTCGGGACTGCAATCCTGAGGAAAGATAGAAAAAAGGCGGGAATTGTTAATATTAAATCTGCGAATGTGCTGCCGAGAAAGAGGCCGTTTGCGGCAGATTCGCCGCGGCGCGTTGGGGTTTAACGGCCGCGATCGGTTGCGCGGAACGACGCGACGGGTGATTTTGTACCCCGAGGTGTTTCTCGTGATGATGTAAACCGAGGCGAAGAGAGGCGAAAAAAGAAATACAAATCGTTTTTTTTTCATTTTCGTTTTTCTTTTTTAGATTTATTTTCGTGCGCGTGGCGAAAGTGCGGTTTGGGAAAACGAGACGGGGGTGGGAGGGGGGGGAAATGTGTCTGCGTATGGGTGAAGGAGGCGATCTCGCGAGATTTGGCTCGGCGCGAGTTCTGCCGTTGGCTCCACCTCCGGCCCCGCCCCTCCCGGTCCCGCGGCGGCGGCGGCGGTGGCGGCGGTTCCGCTCCGTTCCGCTTCGTTCCGTTCCGCCTTCCGCGCTCTCCTTTGGGTTCTGAGCGGTCCTCAGCGGGCCCGGAGCGTCGCCTCGTCCCCCCCCCGAGAGGGGAGGCAGCGGCAGGTGAGGGCGGGCGGGACCCGGTTGGGGGAGAAGTGCGGGGAACCGGG